TCGAAAATGGCCTATCTATATCAGTTAAATTTAGTAAAATATTAATTTAAATTATACGTATTAATTAAAATAAATCATACTGAATAAAAAAAGATTATCTAAATAAATATAGATAGATAATTTTTTTTATCTATTTAAGTAAAATTTTAGGTTAAGTTTTTTTAATAATCTGTGAATCTTCTCAAAATACTTGTTCCGCACGCCATCTAGTAAATTTCAAAGGTACTTATATTATTGCAACCGGACGTAGTACACTATAACTTTACGAGATGGCGTTAAAATACGTTAACAACGTATTAACAAAAGTAGTTTAAAAAAAATAACACATTACGCTTTTATAGAAAATCCAACTAAAAAATAGAAAATAAATTTAATAAATTTGATTTAATAATAATAGAAGAAATAATAATTTTATTGTAAAAAAACCGTGGGTTGCTTTTCAGGATATTATCAAAATAACCCTTCTACTCATATCTGTTCATAAAATATTTATAACTACTGATACCATGCACCCCTCTATAAAAGCGTATTTTGTTATGCCAAATTTCGAATTAATCGTTTTGAAGGGGGTCGAAATCTTGTTCAAAGATTCCGTTACATACTAACATACGTCTGAAGCTAATAAAAGCGTATTAAAAATATTTTTGATAAACATCATGTAGACATATTTGATGGACACAATCATGTTATTTGAAAAGTAAATTAACATCGAGTAGGTACTATTTAGAGCGGAACAAAGCTCTTTGGTATCTGTTCCTGGTACATAATATTAATAGTGTTCTCATAAAATAGGTATATCAAATGTTGGCTTTGAACAATTAAATAGTCTAACTCATAGGTTATATTTAATTTTACACTATTCAAATTCAGTAGTTACGTAGGTATTTGACTTGAATCGAATTTTCGTTCTACTAAGTAGGTATACTATTTCTCAAATAATTTTAGCTTATTTTTTAGACTTTTAGTTTTAATTTTAGTAAATATGTGAAAGCTATTGTTATAATTATAAGTCGTATTATAAGTGACGGTATGTACGGGAATAAAAAAACGGCTTTGTGGTAGTTGGAATAAGCCCTTAGACTATTAAAGATAAGGTAGCGAAAATAAAATTAAAATATCGACAGTTTACAAAATAGATCAATAGAATTTCTAATATTTTTTTTATTGCTTTTATGTGTGGACGTGCTCACAGCCCACCTGGTGTTAAGTGGTTACTGGAGCCCATAGACATCTACGACGTTAACACGCCACCCCCCTTGAGATATAAGTTCTAAAGTCTCAAATATAGTTACAACGGCTGCCCCGCCCTTCAAACCGAAACGCATTACTGCTTCACGGCAGAAATAGGCGAGGTGGTGGAATCTACCCGCGCGGACTCACAAGAGGACCTACCATCAGTAAACTCGGTTGAGTTAGTAGATATTTGACTTATTTGTTCATTGTTGAATGATCAGAATATTAATTCGTTGATGTTTGGATCATAGGTACTCAACGTCCGTATTCAATTCAATTTGAGTGTCCCTCTTTTTATTTAGACGGTCACATTTAAATATCGGTACTGTTTATTGCCGGTCTTTTCTTTTAAATATAACTTGAGTTTTGGATTCGTTTGCCAGTAAGGACTACAATACGTAGGTACCCGTGTTGCTTATGCAAAAAATGGTGTACGCAATTCTGGCAAGCCTTCTTTTTTTGAAGCCTTTAGAAGGATTAGCATGATTTTTAGTTATTTCGATTTTTTTACAGCCAAAATAGTTTCGTTCCTCATAAAATACGCACCTCGAAAGAACGAAGAATGACATCAGGATATTCATCTTTGAGCAGAGCCTGGAGGAAGTCCAACGTGATCTCACTCATGTTTACAACCAGCAGATGCCGTGAGGACTAGATGACTGGACTGATGTGGATATAGCGGGCTACGATCTCCATTACAGATCATTGGTGACCATTCTTTGTACATAGCGTTGGGATATTCCTACAGTTATAAATTTGTTTGTCCTATTCGAGTCTTATTTAATTTATATATATAAAACGTAGGTTCATTACGTTCGTAGTGGAAAAATATAATAAAATATATAATAAGCTTTTTATATTAAGCTTGGCAACCCCGCCAGACATTGCCGGTACCATCAGTGGTCATATTGAGTATATAGGTATAAGATGCACATGAGCGCATACTCTCCTTTTTATATTTATATTTATACTCCCCTGGGCATCAGCCTCAATATTCTAAGACTTATTTTTTTTTATGTTCTGTTAAACTGATTTTTGGTAATTATCTCACCAACAAGCCTTCAATTAAGTAGTCTACATGATAATTACGTGTAATGTTCAATGAATAATGTAATGTGTAACAATTGACTAGTGCCAAAACTTTATTTTTGTTTTTTTTGTTATTGTTTTGTGTTACATGATTACCAGATCCCATTGACATCTACAACGTAAATGCCGCCATCTACCTTGTGATATGAGTTCTAAGGTATCAGTATAGTTACAACGGCTGCCCCTACCTTCAAACCGAAACGCATTGCTGCTTCACGGCAGAAACAGACAGGGTACCTACCCGTGCGAACTCACAAGAGGTCCTACCATCAGTTAGTAAACTTAAAGTTTATAATAAATATGAAAGAATGGCTACTGCATACAGTCCCACGATCGAACATTCCTTATTGGGGTCTGGTGATTGAATAATGCGCCACAGTTTAACTATAGTTAAGCGCTCGGATATGCCTCGTACATCCCTTGCGTAAACTGTTTAACTAGAGGGGGGAATTACGATCGTGAAATGATCAGTTTAAATGCATATGGAAGTGATGCAGAGCCATTTATGNTATGAAAGAATGGCTACTGCATACAGTCCCACGATCGAACATTCCTTATTGGGGTCTGGTGATTGAATAATGCGCCACAGTTTAACTATAGTTAAGCGCTCGGATATGCCTCGTACATCCCTTGCGTAAACTGTTTAACTAGAGGGGGGAATTACGATCGTGAAATGATCAGTTTAAATGCATATGGAAGTGATGCAGAGCCATTTAAGATCTTTCAAATCGTGTCGCAGATAAATGTTAGTTTAAACTGTGTAATTTGATTGCTAATTCAATTATCGTCTAATTAGGACTTCACCGAAACTATACCAATTAATTGATCTCATAGTCGAACACCGTTTTGAATTTTACTTGTTAAATGTAAAACAGTTATAACATCAAAAAAGTATATTTTATCTTTTTACGCGTGTTCCTGGCCTTTATTTCAATCTAATATATTTTATTGTCAAGATTGGTAGCCGGGCTCACGGTCCACCGGGTTTTAAATGGTAACAGAAGCCCGCAGACATCAACCACGTAACTGCCGCCACCCACCGTGAGACAAGAGTTTCTGGTCTCAGTTTTTACAGTAGGTACAAGAAGAGTTCGAGGTGTAACGTAGCCCGTAGATTCGCGTTTCAGTCTGATCCGGTGGTAGATTCAGCGAAGCCCTGCTCTTGCTACGGTTAGTGTTTGTTATTCTCTCTGGTTGAGCCCGTGAGCACACCTACCGGTCCGTCAGTTGTTGAAATAGCCCCCTAGGCTACCCAAAATTAGGTAGCGGAGAAAAAAACATAACCTACTGAGTTTCTCGCCGGATCTTCTCAACGGGTCGCGATTCCAATTCGGTGGGACCAATTACAACGGACTGTAATTATATCTGTATTTTATAACGTACCTTCAATCGCGAGTGCTTTGTTTGTGATTATTCCGTTGTCTTTTTATCGTCGCACCGCTTGTCACAAGTTCACCCATATTACCTACACCACTTCGTTCATCCACACTCTACAGTGCATCTCCAAAAGTATTTTTTGGTACCTACTCGCCATCTGATCTTGGGATTAACTTCCCTCTAAAATACTTTCGTGTGATATAACATATCCTTCTTCAGATTGGGGTGGAGGAGATTTTTTTATCAGTCCTCCTCCGTCGATAATCCTCATTGCTGAGGGTCGTGGCCTCGTCTAACAACTTTCTCCTCTATTATCCTGCGCCATTCCTGTTTATCCTCGGCTGTGTGGATAGCAACGTTTTTATCAGTAGGCAGCGGCTGAGCTGTGCCTTTGGCATTGTGAATTTCCATGAGCGAAGGTGGCTCGCTGTTGAGTCGTATTTGCTTACAAAGGCAATTTAAAAAACTCTCTTAAAAATGTAGGAAATTGTTGAGAGTTCAAGGACTGCTTACAAAAACTCTTGAACCCTTCTTTCTTTTGCCTTTGTGCACTTTCGCAGCTTCTTTTTTTTTTGCTTAGATGATTGGTTGAGCTCACAGCCCACCTGGTGTTAAGTGGTTACTGGAGCCCATAGACATCTACAACGTAAATGCCGTCGCCCACCTTGAGATATAAGTTCTAAGATCTCAGTATAGTTACAACGGCTGCCCCACCCTTCAAACCGAAACGCATTACTGCTTCACGGCAGAAAATTAGGCGGGGTGGTGGTACCTACCCGTGCGGACTCACAAGAGGTCCTACCACTAGTAAAAAAATAATTAACACTAATCATACAACACTTCCTGGTACCTATTTCTACAATAGTGGGTAGAAGCGGTATACTCGACGACAGGCATTACTCAAAATAAACAAAACAAAAAGAAAATAGTTTAATAACTGTAGATTAATTGGTAAGAAAAAGTCATGAATCAAATGTGCAAAAGGAATAAGATGATACTTAAATTTTCAATGCAAAAGTTCAAAATGGGTCGTTTGACCCGTTATGGTATGTTTAGTGTTAAGGCTAATGCCAAAATAGTTACGCGTACGGAGCCGAAAAAATCCTAAAAACAGATTAAATAATAATAAAATAATAACTTGACAATGAGCGCTCGCCTGGAATTGTAAGAAAACTGTCATTTGAATTTATTTACAACTGACATTTCTTTTGCGTTGTCTGTGTTTTATTCAAAGAGCAAACTTGAAGTTTCGCTGAAAGATTCAATTGAATTTCAGCTGATATTGTATTAATTGTATATTTCAATCGAAACGATTGAAATTCAAACCGTATGGTTAAAAAAATTACTCTAACCCTTATCGCAATTGAAAATTATTAATTTTATTAAACGCAATTAAAACTACAGTAATGCCCGTGGACCAGATTCAATATTCGGAAAGATATACAGATGACGTCTACGAATACAGGTAAAATATTTATGTGAATTTCTTTCATGTCTCCTTAATTTAATGGTTTAACAACAACTAAAACACTACATATTTAGTTTGGATAAAACAATGTTTGAAGAAATTAATTGAACGCCGTATCAGTTGTGTGTAAGTAAATAACATGTGACCGTCTCCTTGCAATCTGGGTGCAATCCTTTTTTAGTAAAACTAAAACGCTGACGTAAAAATTAAGCTGTTGTAAATGTGTAATTATTAATAATTATTTATGATAAATCTGGTTATTCATACCATTTATACAAGCGTCACCATCTGTTACGCCACCATCATGTCATAGTAGTCTCGTAATTGTGAAATAATTAATCCACGTTTGTATAAATTATGAAACCCCAAAAAATATTTCCAGGCATGTCATCTTACCACCGGATATAGCCCGCATGGTGCCAAAATCCCATCTTATGACAGAGACAGAGTGGCGAAACCTTGGTGTTCAGCAGAGTCCCGGCTGGCTCCACTTTATGGTGCACAATCCGGAACCCCATGTTCTATTATTTAGAAGACCTAGAACTGATATACCGGCTCCCTTGAATGGCTTAGATACAAATACTAGTTCTGCTGTGAAGGTTTGACTGTTTTTGTTGCATAGGCATATTTTTAGGTGTCATAGCTTAATATTATTTAAATTGCGTATTGAAACTATTATAGTTAAAACAAAATAAAAACTTTTCAGTTTATTATAAATTAGCAGACATCAATTATTATTATATTACTTTATTTTGTCTCAGTCTAAATTCAAATCGGGGGTTTTAATATAATTATTCATGACTTTGGATAACACAAAGGCTCGTTTGTGGATAATTCTCTGGAGGAGCTTGGATGAGGCTCATAAGCTCTATACAAAAAGACTAAAGTACATTGAGATGTTACTTGTTTATTATTGAGAGTAAATTTAACCATAGATAGAATTTTAACTGTGACCTCCTAATTAATATAAAGAAATACAAAACTGTGAAGTTAACATATTCATTAGATAACTGTTTATGAAAAAAATATTAACACTAAGTATGTGTTAGGTAATAATTACATTAAAAATGTACCAGTATATAATTTGCGAGTAGGCAATATAATCAGAACTCATTAAACTTAACAAAAATTCTTGAATCAAATGTTGAATGAATGTAAAACTTAGCACATGCAACTACTAATACTTATAGCAGAATATATTATTTTTATGATAGAATAAAATGTATTTACATGATTTTTAGTTAAAGAAGAATATTTGTTTTTAAATAATGTTAAGAGAATACTTGTGTTACATTAAATATAAATTCTATGAAAATAATTACCATTCATCAGCATAGTGTTACTCAGTGTGACTATGTTTTCTGATAAATTATTGGGATGTAGACTACATCTAAGTAGTATAAGTTCTTTGTGAACATAACAGCAACTTATCACATGGGTGGGTGCTCCAAAGTGAGTATGATTTTATTAAATGTAATTCTGTTCTAAAATATTGTTCTGCATTAGCTATTACACATTCAGAGATGTAGTTACTAACTTGTGTATAAATCTTATGATTTAAAAACTGACAAAAAGAAGGATTTTTCTTGTTTATTCTGTCTTATGCCTTGAAACATTGACTAAAACGATCCTTCCTTAATATGCCTTATTTTATTTTCGAACATTTATTTTTCTAGTGGAAAATCAATATACTGAAAAATTGTAGTAATAGAAAACTGTTAATGTTAGTTCTGTTTTTACATTCAATGTTAAATAGTAGTAGTTCAAATGATCCCCAAAGAAATAAAACCAAATTTCAATTACCATAACACAAATAGTATTTTATAATGTTCACTTGATTTTTTCCACATAGAATTTACTTTTGTATTTTCATCCGGAACAATCCAAATCTTTCATTATTGTAGTAAATTCATAGTAAAAAAATTCTTCATCAATATTGATGCTGATAATTTTGAGGGCAAACAGTTATAGTTTCTTAGGCTAGTACCACTGTCTTTGTTTTAAATCGAAGACCGTGGTAGGTCCGGTAATATCAGCAGTAATTATTTAAAAAAATATTGTACAGAACATATTTTAATCCAAAACAGAATATATTATGCTGTGGTTTTCGTATCTCGATTTATGAAAAATGACTGAAAATTGCCTAAAAACGAATGTTTTTTGAGAAAATATTCCTCTACCTTTCAGTTGATTACGAAATTGGCTTGGCTGCAAACGCGAAACTAATTAATAATTTTTTCTTAGCATGATACAAAGACTGCAGGAGTCATAGATAGAACATCAAACAGTTATGTTTGAATCTGCGTCTGTTTCATCTAAGGTATTTTCTTTATCTTAAGATCGATGCCTCCTATGAACACTACGCTAACTCCAAATTCGTAGGTTTACAGGAGGAGTGTTTAAACGAAAAAAATTTATAAAATCTTTATTATTGCAGATATATTTATGGTTTACTCTTGCTTCGAACCCCATCAATAATAATTTGTAATACTTTTAAAATAGTGAAGCAATTTGCGTGAAAAACGAAAATTTTAAAATTTTGTGTTAGTGTTCCTTGGAGGCATCGCTTTAAGATAACTCGTGTACTTAAGGCGTACGTGTCCGTATAAATGATAGGAACAGTTATTGTTGTCTTCCTTATTCGAATACTGTGATTGTGCAACACACATACTGTTGTAAGCATCCTTGTTTACAAATAGTATTGGCTTCCTCACAATACAAACGCCATGATTACGGGCGGACTGTGTACTGCGGGTAGGATTTAAATCTGTCTACCCTCTCTGTATTTCGTTCATTAAGCCTGTAAAAAAGTTAACTAAATTATTAAAATAAAAAAATGTTAAGTGTTTGTAACGTATTAATTTGCCTTAACAGCTAAATACAGCGTTATAGAAGAGAAATAAGTCTATATCTGAAACTAATTATTATCTACAGACCTTGTTATTGAAACACGATGTATTTTAGATTCAGTTACATAACGTTGCCTTTGCATTTTTAGTTTTCTCTTATTGATTACAAATGTAATTGTATATTGATTTAAGTTTTTATTAATGAATTAAGATGACAGCTGTTGAATAAATTATTAATAAATATGTACGTATTCTTATTTTTTTACCTATTCACGTCCGAGCATTTCAAAATTTTTCATTTTTTCGTTAGCAGCACGTGTCGTCAAACGTCTTTTACGTATCTACTACGGTTGATTGGTTTTGAAGACAGACAAGCTTACGGCTTCCCTGATCTTAAGAGGCTATCGCTAAGATGTTTATCGGTCATGGACATCAGCAGTATTTAAGTCGCTTATGTCGAAGATTTTCAAACCTCGTTTTCAGAAGGGGAGTTTCTTATAGATCCGGGTGTCGTTTGGAGAGATAATCCACTCAAACGCGCTGTGGACAATGGTTGCTTCTGAGTATGGGTGGTGTAATCTGTTGCAGTGATGGACAGTCTCGTAGGAAGGATGGTGGAATCCCTTCGAACAATTTCTCAGAGCACTCGCGTGTGGAGCAATCAGGGAGAAGGATGAGAGATTTATTTAAAAATTAAAACAAAACCTTTACTATGCTGAATGTTTATTTGGGATTTCATTTAACATCTAAAACATCATAAAACACAGTAAAATATAAAAATAAATGCGACAAGTAAAATTTATAGTCGTGGAAACTTTTTTTAATATTGAGAAACAGAAAAAAACCTACATCTAAATGATAATAGAATAAAATTATTAACAATATATTAGTTACTATATATATTTATTAGTAGTTCGCATAAATCAAAAAGTTTTTTTGAAAAATAAAATTGTATTCCCTTAAAATTAAAAAAAGCCGATAATAAGTTGCCATTACGAAATAACGAATGTAGCGTGACGTCTCGAATGAAAACAACGATAATTTGATATGGATATCGGAAGTCCTTAATTATAAAGTTAGCTTTAACAGGTTTTCACTTAACATTCGTATAAAAGTCATCATTTTGAATATATCTTATCTAAAAAGGATAGGCAGCATCCTAGACACATGTACATCGATGTGGGATGGGATAATATCATCTCATCCCGAATATATCCTAAACGTGTCGGTGTGCCGTTTCATAGTGAAAAAGGTTGGATAGTATAATCTCTAAGAAGGGTCCTCTATTGTTCTACGATTATCTGGAGAATTAATATTCGATTACTACCAGCTCGTTCAAGTGCCAGGCGTATAAAAGCATAGACACTTCGCAGAATGATTGAATTATGGGGTATTTATTCATTGTGATGGAAGCGGGTCAGCTAATTTGCAGATTTGCGTACCGGTTGGAAACTAGCAAGAGTTTAATATCAATGTCGGCTATGCTCTCACTGCTCATTAGCTGTAGGCATTGATCTCCTGACGCAACTGTTGTTATGGTGGAATGAAAGTAGTTTTGCTTTTACACTCCTCACAACTACACTTGAACGACGATAACTCCGGACGAGTCACTGCCCCCAACAATCATTACAATTTGCATCAAAGCGCACGATTAATATTTTGTTTTAATATCTAACAATAAATCGATAACATACACATGCACGTGGTTACATGTTTTAATTTATTTTTAATATTTATTATTGATAATCATACAATTCGCCTACGAACTACACTACTATAAACCTTCAACGAATCCGAACAGTTACAGCCGCAGATACAGCTTCGACACGTGACAACCTTTGTGAAGTCCATCTTTAATTTTTTTAATACATTTTTTTTTCTCTAAAACTTAGGCCATTTCGGGTATCGCAACATCTGGCCGTTGTATAAATCATTACAGCTGTAAAGCTTACTAAATATTGTAGAAAAAGTGATACCACAGTACAAAGTTGCATCAATCTGGTAACATCGTTAAAAGCATTTTCGTAAAAATTTTCGTGATTTCGAAACACGCGCCTGTAATTTTCAATACATAGCAAAAATGATATGAGAGTATCCAAACAGTGATATGAATGTATTAATAAAGATTGTAAGTAGGTATAATACTAACAAGATATGTTCTTAAAATATTATTATTTTAGTACCAAAAACATTTCGGTACAATTTTTATTGTTAAAATATATAGAATATAATATATAAATGCTCGTTACATTGTCTTTTTCGTTGGATTGCTGTGTTCTGGCAGCACTGGCGCTAGCTTTAGGGGGGGACAACGAAAATAGTAGAAAATCTGAAAGAGTTGCCACGTCAAATAAAAAATAACAGAAATGGCGGATAGTTCGACTCAATCACGATACGTACTGCAACAATGGCGCGCCCTTATTTATACAATAAGCGTTGCATACGATTATCGTTAATATTTAAAAAAAAACAAACAACTGCTGTGAACTAATTTGATTTGGTACATGTTCCATTGAAACTTAACTTTTAATTTTACGGCAGATGATACAAGATACTGATGGGACTACGCAATTTATAGTTTGTGGTGTTTTCAGAAAATATCAAATAGGTAGTGATTCGTTATAGTTCGATCTTAAGTTTGATTTCAGTTTTAATTTGATGAATTAGTTCATTAGTAGGACTTAATACACATATCCATGCCGTAATGCAGTTAAAGAGCCGCACTCTCTATATCTCTTAATCGTTCTTAATGTCCTAACTTTCTACGGTATGGTTTTCTTAGTTTAATCAGGAGACTGCCTATTTATGGATTATATTGTACCAAATCAAGTTAAAATCTCGTATTAGTTCCACATAGCTGTCAACTTACAGGCTTCTACTTTTTTGTGATCCCCTGGAAGCCATAAAGCTCAGGTTAGGAAACGCGTGGAATGTTTTATAAAAAGCTTTTGTATAAAAGTTAAGGACAGTCAATGTACAGTGCAATTTGTTAGTGATGAGTCGAAAATTAGTAAATATTAAAAGAAATTGTGACCAACAAGAAATTAATTAAAACGGTATCTATATAAAGCAACACCATTGTAGAATAAATCTTTGGTTATGCTCAGTGTTGCCAGAACGTTGGGCGCGGTAGTTTGGTTGCTTCGAATATAGCAACATTATATTGAAAGCACCGTGCGCGTGTAAAGTTCGCGTCGTTTTCGAGCCGTTCATTCGTTGTTTGCCGGTTTCCCGTTCGTGTACTGCGGTGGCGCGTTGCCCGGCGTGCCGGAGTCCTCGGACATCACCGAGACGAGCTCTTCTACGGCACGGCCCAAGTCATCTGAAAAGGGTAAACAAATTTAAGCATTATTATGAACAAATTATGAAATATTTGCCGAACTTTTTGGCTGTACTTTTCGATAAGTACAGATGCCTTGTCTTCAGAATCTTGCGGTTTTTTTTATTGCCTTGTAGGCAGACGAGCATACGGCCCACCTGATGGTGAGTGGTTACCGTCGCCCATGGACTTCAACAATGCCAGGGGCAGAGCCAAGCCGCTGCGTTTCATTAAGAAGCTAATTTTCAATGCTAGAATCCATAACATTTTAAGATTATGTACTTAATAACTCGCTCAAAAAGCTATATTTTATATTGCGTATAATATACTAAAATTAGTGATCGCAGTTTCGAATAAGTCAGCTGCGACACAGACAGAACATATTTTTCAAACATTTTAAATCGTAACTAAGTCAGCCTTAGGGTTTGGAGTTCCATATCGGTTATAGATAGGTTCCTTATAGGTTGGGATTAGATATAGTCATTTGTTCTATCCACTCATCACTGCCTGGTAGAAAACTCACGTAAAATCCAAGATAACGCGAAATAAGTAAAGGTAAAGAAAACCATGGACCTAGTGTCGAATAATTAAATCCCATGTTTAATAAAAAAATTGTTGATTACCTCAGGGTATGCGTCCTGTTTTGAATGCAGTAGAAAACAAAGAGAATGACGATATAATTAATATTTAATGACTAATTCTATTAAGTTTCTGCACATGCAACAACCATGCAAACAAGCCTAGATTTCAAATAAACAAAGTTACATCTGGCATTATATTTTAGCAAATATAAATTTAAATATTTTAAGGTTTAAAGTTTATCGTGATATTTTTGTGCTGGCAACATTTCAAAAACAGACGAAGGAAGCATAAAACCGAAATTGTGATTACAATGAATTTTAGATTTATACGCAATTGTAGTTTAATCAGTTCACACGGCTTCAGTTGAATGCTGAGTTCACAACACCCAACTTATGACTTAAGTACGTGAAATTTTCTTTAAATGCCAAATTTATATTTTGACAGGAATTCACTCAATATGAACAGGGATCTCAAGCAAAATCGGATAGCATAGTGTTCAGAGTTTTGACCGATCGGCATTATCCGTTGTTTGGAGGTGGTGACAAGCTTCGTTTCTTTGGACAGCTACGAATCGCATTTACTACAGTACTACTTATTACTACAATACGAATCGTAATTGCCAAAATGATTAAACTAGTTAAAATTCGACAATTCCACTGTATTATTGAGAAATCATTGAACACAAATTATATTTAGATTTTTTAAAAAGCTTGAGTTATTTGAACGTAAATCTTTTAAAATCTAAAACAATTGCACAAAAAGCGAAACAAAAGTGTGAACACATTATTGACACCGCTGACCTGCGCAGTGCATGAGGGAGTGCACGGTGTGCGGGGGCGGGGGGGGCCGCTCGGCGCCGGCCCAACGAGCGCCGCCATCTTGTACGCCATTACAACAAAATGGCCGACGTTATTTAAACGAATTTCAAAGCATTACTTTTTTATATTTGAACTGACATATAAGTGTTACCAGATGTTTACCATTGTTTTTAATTAGCACTCAAGTCGCTGCGATTTTCTGTCGCTACTCAGTGGTACAGAAAAATCAGACCTTTAAAGTAGTAAACTATAATTTATACTAAGAAACTTTGAGTTCTTAATCTAAATATTTCAACTTAAAAACATTAAAAGCATTACTGAACATACTTGTTTGTGATTCGTGGTACAGTCCATTGTGCATTTTGGCTGGGGAATCAGTTGCAAGCTGCGAAGCGGTCACCGAACGTGTCTGTAATGTTCCGGTGCGCGCTGGGGGCGAGCCCTGGGCCGGCTGGAAGTGTTTATAACAATGTCAGTGATATAAGGAAAACCATTGGATGCAGACAGCGCGGGACTTGGCAGAGGTCCATGTACGTCAGTGATGAAATACAATTCAAGTTCCTTACACAGTTTAGTTTTGTTTTTTATTGAAAGGCAAACGAGTCCTCGGGCATCGCGAATATTGCCACGTGGCAGCTTATTAATTTTATCGTGCTAGTTTACCGGCGAGGTTGGGTGAGATTGGGTGAGGTTGAGAGGGACTGGACTGCCTACCTCGTCGAGTAAGGTGCGTAGACGCTGCAGCTGAGCTTCGAGTTGTCTGTTGTGTTCCTCCAGAATGTGCATGCGAGCCTCCAGCCGGCCCTTGTGCTGACGGAGAAGACGAGCCTCGGCCATCATGTCCTGAAATATATTTCCGATTCATCGTATGCACTGTGCTGTGAAGACTGATGAATGCACGGGCGAGCTATAGTCATAAACGCAGTTGGTGCCGTAGAGTCATCTCATAGTTCATGGCGGCTCTAACAAACAGCGCGTTGTGATCACAGAAGAGGAAGCTGATGAACAATGGCGAGACGATTCGACGCTAAGTGAATGGCGGATTAGAGGGCGGGACACCCCTACACACAACTTGAACTCCTGTCTTAAGAGGACAGCATTCACGTTGTACTGTCTGTATATTCCAGTGATCAGCTAACACCAGGTGGGCCGTGAGCTCGTCATAATAAATAAGTACAACTTGTGATTCCTATATTTAGATTCTGAGGACTGTTTTGGGACCACCTGTTCATTATTTTATACTGGAACCGTGGTTAGTAGAGCTATGATCAAGAAAGGTTCACAAGCACCAATTTAGTATATTCTAAATGAGTATTTGTATGCTTAGACGTCACAACACATGCGTGACGTCACGTCACGTCAAGCCACGTTACGCCAAGTTCGGTCACGTAGCGCCAGACACAACATCAACATCCCTCCTGTAGAAGCCAAAATTATTTGTATTATAAGTTCCTCTGACCTGGTCTACCGGTCCGCTGCGGCTATTGTCGCTGACGCCGTGCTGCTGCTCCTCGGGCGTGGAGCCTGGAGTCTGCTTAGCCTTCAGACGCTCGTACTCCGCTTGGAGACTTGCGTTTTCTTCTTCCAGTTCCCTATAAATAAAGATGTTTTGAAAGTGATAAGGAATGCTTAACTGCATTGCCCTAACCGCATGTGTATGTGTGTAGTGTACCTAATCATGGCCTCGAGTTCGTGTCTCTGCTCGCGGTGGATAATGGAGACCACTTGCACAGGCGAGCGAGGAGCTTCTTCGGACTCCCCTCCGCCGTTCAGTGAGGCGCAGTACTGAGCTATGAGCTGATGTTCTTCATCGCTGTAACGGTAAAGGATGTAATGGTTAGTTTCAATTTCATGATAAGAAGACCTAAGAGTAATTATAACCTTCAAAGTATATTCAATATTCTGTCGATGCGCGAGATCAAAGTTGCGATGGGGTGGGACGGGACGAGACGGGTCGTGGCGTAGCGGGAGGGGACGGTGCGGTGCGCGGCGGGGCGCGGCGCGGCGGGGCGCGGCGGTGCGGGGCGGGGCGGGGCGAGGTGTACCTGTCGGGAGTGTCGGCGGCGCTGAGCTCAACCTGCGCGAGGCGGGTGGCGTACAGCTCGAGGCGCGAGTGCATGTCGGGGCCGAGGGAGGCGCCGTGCTGCGGAGAGGGAGCGGGAGACTCCAGAGCATCACCTGCACATAAACAATTTTATTACATTAATTACATTTACCAAGAATTACAAAAACTGTCAATTACAAAAATTCATCATGTGAATATGATATGGCCCCGGAAGGTGGGGCTGTCACAATGCGATCCCGTCAGAACAATATTCTCGACCGAATTTTTTCAACAGTTGGGTCTGGTTCTTGCTCTCACCCTTAATGAGACAGAACTCAACTGAGGACATGTATAATCTGCCGTCCTTTATAAGACGCGTGTGACCGTACCTAGGTCGTCTTCGTCCTCACACCAGCATACGGAGCACACGGCTAGTTTCGGATAAGATCCCATTAAGCTTACATCTTAAGTGGTAAGGTGCCTAAGTTAAGATCATACAATCAGGTTTTTTTAATTAATTATTCACATCAAATTAACAACTGAAACTATCCTCTTACCTTCTAAAACGGTTTGTACGGGCAAGTACCCGACCCTGGGGTGCTTCTTGAAGTAGCGCGCCGACTTGAACTTGTTGCGGAGCGCCCTCGTGAAGTCGCGCACGTCCTCTCCCGACGTCGTCTGAAGCGAGAGTGACGCGACCAATTGTTTTGTGGGTGGAAACATTTTTTTTTTAAATTACTAAGAAATGGAGGCTTAGCAAATGATAGGGTTTTAGGGGTTCTGTGTTCTGCTCAATTGACAGACTTTTTTTTTATTGCTTAGGTTGGTGGACGAGCTCACAACCCACCTGGTGTTAAGTGGTTACTGAAGCCCATAGACATCTACAACGTAAATGCGCCACCCACCTGGAGATATAAGTTCTAAGGTCTCAAGTATAGTTACAACGGCTGCCCCACCCTTCAAACGGAAACGCATAGCTGCTTGACGGCTGAAATAGGCAGGATGTTGGTACCAACCCGTGCGGACTCACAAGAGGTCCTACCACCAGTAATGTTATTTTAATATATCTGTAGGACACCACTAAAGAATAAAATCCTGTAAATAGATGTATGTTGAGAGGTTTTTTATTAATACTCTTGTCTTCACGGTACAGCGAAAGAACACAATGTTTTTGAAGTTATACTTCTTTAGGCGCGTTATAAAAATTGATGAGAGTGAAATTTTACGATGCGCGCGCACCGTGACACAAAATTAATAGAATGAAGTTGCCCACTAAATCGCTCATTACAATACGACCGACGTAACTTGGCGAGTCTGAATATAGCCGCAGGTGAACTTTCCGAACTGAGAATTACCGAATTTATACAATGTCAAGAAAAGGGATGTCCAATATGCGTGTTTGAGGATGTTGTTTAATCGATTTTTTTTCAATTTGATTAAAATTTAAATAAATAAAAAAGAAATAAATTTAATAAAAATACAGTATAACTTCTTACGCACGTACATAAGTACACGCACCCTTTTTTATAATTATCACTGTAACATTTTATCAGATATGCGATCGATTCATATATTTGCAGTCTCCACTAAAAATGAACGTGTATTGATTGTGCGCACTCACCGCAGTGCAGTACTCCTGCATCGGATGCGTCAATTTGTGGTTCTTGGCCTTCCGGCCGTTGAAGAAGCACTTTTGACACATGTCGAAGTTGAAGCACTTGAGGCAGCGGTACCTGCGGGCGGGGGCGGACCTGGTTAGCTCGGCTCGACCATACAATACTGTATTAGTTTGGTGTCGGTTTTTTGAACATCCGACTGTATGGGCTGTGTTAGACTTTCCGGTATTTTAGCATTTAGTCATGTTGTGTCGTTTCCAATTTAGTCTGGCAGCCAATAGTCTTGGAATAAAATCATAATAATATGTTGTACGGTCATAGAATATTACTTTCAGAATTACTGTAAGTTCGCTTTTAGCGATAAGACCGCCCATTGTATCTGCTTGTTGACTGTTTTCTAGTGTTAATTGTGTTTTGGTGTGCAATAAAGTATGTTCTCTCTCTCTCTCTCTCTCTCTCTCTTTCCATCTCTCTCCCTCTCTCTCCTCCTCCCTCTCCCTCTCTCTCTATTACCTGAACCCAACGATAGGATAGTCCTTGCAGATGTTGCACTTGGCTTGGTGGCGGGCCCCCTCGGCGGCGGCCAGGCGGTGCAGCACGGGCAGCCACACCATGGACTGCGGCTCGCGCTGCAGCCACTGCAGAAACTGGAACGCTTCGATGTACTGGACCTGGCCGTCCGCGTCTCGCTCGACTGGCTTCTCTTTCGTTTCATCCTTTTCTTTTTCTGGAGGAAAACCATACGATATATATTTATTAAGTTTTGTATGAAATCCAATCATTAGTAATGGATTTTATAGGAAGCAAGTTAAATTTAGTTAAGTATTTTCGTAAGTAATTTGCGTAATTACTGGTGGTAGGACCTCTTGTGAGTTCGCACGGGTAGGTACCACCGCCCCGCCTATTTCTGCCGTGAAGCAGTAATGCGTTTCGGTTTGAAGGGTGGGGCAGCCGTTGTAACTATACTGAGATCTTAGAACTTATATCTCAAGATGGGTGGCAAATTTACGTTGTAGATGTCTATGGGCTCTAGTAACCACTTAACACCAGGTGGGCTGTGAGCTCGTCCACCCATCTAAGCAACAACAAAAAAACTGTATAATCTCAAAACTTACTAATTTTATAGGAGAGTGTTTTAAAGGTTTAACATAATATGATATTTTAATATTAATCATCTTTGCAACATTTATTTTTTACCAGTTATGTATCTGTCTTTTAATGTAAGATAAAATTATGTATTATATTAATTTTGTTAACAGTAGTCAAAATATAGGTGAACTAAAAAAAAAACTAAACTACGCTCTTTTGACAGTATTTATGAGAAATATACTGGTGATGATACCAAATGTTTACGCATATTAACTCAATTTCGAATATTTTTGGAAATGGTACACTTTTAATGCGAAAAGAAGATATGTTTATTAAGTTTTGTATAAAATCCAAACATACGTAATTTTAGATTAGATTTTATTAAGAAATTCAATTAGGTTGACTATTACGAAAGACGATCATTGCCCACCAGTTTTCCTGTCAAGAGTTCCTCCTTTGCTGCCCTCCTTGGCAGCAGTGGAGGCCTGCTCGAAGCAACTCCGGACTGAGGGTTCGATATTGGAGCCGCCGAAAGCTGCAACCTCGCCCAGCTGTCTCGGCACCTGGGTACCAAAAGAATTGCACTTAGCATAAATTTTAAACGAGGCAGTATAATAACGCCTTCAGAGTGCTGATGTAGCTGCCGCGTCACAGCGGTGCGTCGGGGATGTTTGCAGATGCGCGAATAATCGCAGCAATCATTCGTAAACAAATTGCTTCTCTGATTAGCCGCGTGCGGGTCAGTCGCAACAGCTACGGCTGTTTGCCTCACGGATGGATCTGGACTGCCCAATGAACACGTGTTCATGTTGAGCACTCTGGATCCAAACCAGCCTTTAGGTTTAGATAGTTTTGATGTTAATTTTGAGTCTTTGTTTTATTATTATTATTGCTTTTATTTTATTCCGAGATTGTGGTTATTATTTTTATTTAATTCTGGTATACTATATGAAATATTAATGAATGTAATATGGATGCAAAATCTGAAGTAAATGAAATAAATAAATAATAGTTTTTTTTAGCAGCCTTTTTTTTACTATAAAATATTTTTTTNAGATAGTTTTGATGTTAATTTTGAGTCTTTGTTTTATTATTATTATTGCTTTTATTTTATTCCGAGATTGTGGTTATTATTTTTATTTAATTCTGGTATACTATATGAAATATTAATGAATGTAATATGGATGCAAAATCTGAAGTAAATGAAATAAATAAATAATAGTTTTTTTTAGCAGCCTTTTTTTTACTATAAAATATTTTTTTCTTATACTATTTATAATTCAAATTTATTAAAATTTATTTTCTATTTTTTAGTTGGACTTTCTATAAAAGCGTATTTTGTTAGTTTTTTTAAACTATTATTTATTTTTAGTAATCAATATTTAATTAATTACTAATCTTGACTTAAACACGAAATGTATTGTAACAATCGATATCGGACCTAATAAACACAAAAAGCTAAAGCTAACGAGCTGTATTTGTTTCTTTCGAATCAATAAAGATAAATCAGTATTACCTGAATACAATCGTGCAGCAAGAGACCCAGCTTCCTTTGGTCCGCCCTGCATGATGGGTCCGCGATTAACCGGAATAAATACCTGAAGAGGGACAGATAGACCTGAATGAAAAATATATTTAGGCTGACACGCCAACCTTAGCTTTCTCGTGATCTCACACACTTTGTTGAAGAAAACAAAATGCTTACTAATTATGTCGTTCACTTGAATTCGTTTTTTGAAATCGATGAACGATACCAAAATGAATCTATTAGGGATGATTCACGCTACACCATGTCGCGACCGGACCGGGCCACTCATTCATATTACACCGGGTTGTTTGGGTGTATTTTTTGCACGGCCGTGTCTGTGTGATGTGGTTTTGGTCAGCTAGTGATTTAATCTGTCGATAGACTTGACGTTTAAGTAAATATGCAATTTTCGTAATTTGAATTGGCAGCTATTGCAATTGCCATCGATGATGAAGTGTTGGAAAAACGAAGCGAAACTACTAAAAGAAGATGGGGTGTACATCCAACCTGGAGAAAGCACTAAGATTTGACGTTGACTGCTCTGCGACCGCCCGGGCGCATATGTTCATGTTAGAACGTATCGGGTCCGGACCGTGACGGAGCCGAGAAACAATACCCACCAACATTTCAACGCCGTGCCTCGGCCAAGTCCCGGCGGCGCACGGCCGAGCCACGGTCAGGCATGAATCACAAAAAGTATACCATAATGTTTGGCCGTGTCCCGATGGGGGCATTCTCCCATCGCGATACGGTATAGCGTGAATCATTCTTTATCCGGGCTACTCCTCCGAAAAGGCTTAGTTTACTCAACGGCGTCGCCTTCTGTCGAGACCACATTTTATATCCTACATATTGAAGCTTCTGGACCAACATCGGAGTCATATCCGTACCTATACTTTTCCTCGAGGTGTCCTTTACAGAGCAACACCAAGCCGACCTTGAAGCTCAACACCCTGATCTGTCCGGTGCGCTGGCTGTCGTACACGTTCAGCAGCCAGTTCATGGACAGGTCCAGGCACAGCGGCACGTTCACGGCGCTTGGGTTCTCCGCGGCTATCACCTGGAATAAAGCGTTAGTACGGTCAACCTCAATTTTAATATTAGAAACGGGACGTTGCGGTGGGAATTTTTGCATGTTGCATTAATGAATTGTGTTAATGTTCTGAAAGTTTCCAGACGCTTCTTCATGGAGAAACAAGGAGAGGGCCGTGTTACATCTATTAGTATTACTCGAAAAAATTGAATATTAGAACTGTTAACTGTTAATTGATAACAGTCTGGATGGCAACACTTCTAGGAGACTCTTCTACTGGCCACATTGAGGTAGGCCTATCTCGATCTCTACTCACAACTATCCTGAGTCACTTAACGAGGTTTAAAGTAAATCTTCAGCATCTGAACAGCAAGGCGTAGGTAATTCCACATTTATGACGTGTCATGTAAACGCATTCACAGTACAATTCTTCAGTGTCATCTCGTTGCGGCTGATCGGTTCGCTTCTGTGCGAACAATACCTAAGCTGATAGCCTTGAGAGGCTATTTCAGCGTAACCTTAACTAGTAGGTGAGCTGACGGGGCTCAAACCGGAGTGATGCTAACACTGGCCCTAGTAAGAGCAGTGCTTCACAGAATCTACCACCGGATCGGAAACGCGACCCACTGAGAAGATCCGGCGAGAAACTCAGTGGGCTGTGTCTGTGGGTTAATTCGCTCGTCGAGCCCTTCGTCGTAAGCGACGGGTACCTAAAAGCACCGTTAATGGATCGGGAGGATCCGTAATGACGTGTTTTGGGCGACGTCGACTGTTTACCATTCGGTCTACAGGATCGGGTATGTAGTTTCCACCAGCCACAACAAGAGAGTTCTCATGTCATGCCGCTTTTCAAAGTGGCGCAATTATGCCGACTGTAGGTACTTACTGACCGAGTCAAGTTCCAGGTCATCATGGAGATCCACGTTCTTGAAGAACCATGGTGCTAAGACGGCTATCCTGCAAAATCGGGATTGTGCGAATAATGAATCGCAGTACTTACTTCGTACAGAGTGGTGAGGACGGTGATCATGTCGGGAATGTCGATGAGTCTATCGTTTTGCGCGCGTAGACCGTGCGAGTCGAAAGCCTCGAGCGCGGCCGGGAGCTGCAGCATGTGCACTGGGTACCAAACACATGTATTACATAGTTATGTTTATATATACGGAGAGCATCTGTCAAGGCTTTAATGAACAAGGACTCCATACAACAGTGACTGATCTGTCAAGAGCAATCAACTCTGATGATGATGATTACATATTTTTTCTGCCAATTCGCAGTCTCCACTTAGAAATTGGCAAATTAGCGTGAAATTATAATTTGCCGATAATTACTGGTGGTAGGACGTCTTGTGAGTTCGCGCGGGTAGATACCACCGCCTTGCATATTTCTGCCGTGAATCAGTAACTATACTGAGACCTTAGAACTTATATCTCAAGGTGGGTAGCGGCATTTACGTTGAAGATGTCTATGGGCTCCGGTAACCACTTAATATCAGGTGGGCCTTGAGCTCGTTCACCCATCAATGCAAAAAAAGGCAACGATACGCAAGATGTCATCAGGCTTGGTGGAGTGACGTAGAGTGCTGGGTGGCAGGCAGGAGCTGGATCAGAGAAGCCGAGGATCGTGCTAAGTGACGTGCTGTTGGAGAGGCCTATGTCCAGCAGTGGACTGCTATAGACTGATTATGTCGTATTACATAGGAAGCTGATCAATGATATTTTGCAATAAGTGTGAATTATTATATTTATGAATACGTGTTTTGAGAGGCATATGTATAACAGAACATCATTGTCGTTGAAGTGTAAATTTGTAAAAAACAGAGTGACGATTGAGTAAGGTCAGTGATCACTCACTGGCTTATTGTATCTATGGACCTTCAATTAGAGTCCTTAGATCGTATTAACCTGAGAGACATTGTGATCAATCATCAGATCAGTTTACAGACAACTAACATTTATATTTTCATTATACAACATTATTATTTCACTAATTTTTTGTAACTTTGTTTTATTGTCCTTGTAGACAGACGACAGAATCAGGCCCAATTGCTGATGAGTGGTTACCGTCGCCCATGGGCTTCAGCAATGCCAGGGGCAGAGACAAGCCACTGCCTAATGTTAGTTAGTAAGTTAGTAAAGTTCCAAATTTATTTTATGGAAAAGTCCAAATATATTTGAAAACAATTCAATCAACTAAGTAGATGTAATGAAGGGGTCATTGCTCAAGTTTACTCACTGCACAGAGCTTTCTGCACCGTCCGTAGCTTGAGGGCGGTCCTGTAGGCCGAGAACCGAACCTCGTTGAGGTCGGCTAAGGAGTTCATTAGTTCAATCATCTTGGGGTGGTCCCAGTGCGTTGTCTCTAACTCATGGCTGAAGGAGGAGAAATATTTGACTATACATACAGCATGCTTCGTAGATCTTGTTAAGGTATACAATACTGGTTTTTACTGGTGGTAGGACCTCTTGTGAGTCCGCAAGGGTAGGTACCACCGCCCTGCCTATTTCTGCCGTGAAGCAGTAATGCGTTTCGGTTTGAAGGGTGGGGCAGCCGTTGTAACTATACTTGAGACCTTAGAACTTATATCTCAAGGTGGGTGGCGCATTTACGTCGTAGATGTCTATGGGCTCCAGTAACCACTTAACACCAGGTGGGCTGTGAGCTCATCCACCCGTCTAGCAATAAAAAAATTAATACAGATAGATTTGATTTGTATTTTTGAACATCTGAGACATACACAATGAGGTTGTTTTGTAGTGTTACATATATGAAATTAGAGGACAATATAATCGAGTATTGAAAATTTCTAACCTAGCGTTAGATGCCTAGCGATGTGCGGTGTCGTGGGACACCGGATAGGAACGAAGTTCCTTATTATAAAAATATTAATTTTAAGTTCTATTCGAGGTATAAAGAAAATAAAACTGGATGTTTCGCAACAACCCACGGTCATTCGGTAACTTACCACTTATTGTGGTACACTTCATTCACGGTTGTTTACCTAACGAACGCTCTGAGATCGTGGTCAATTAATGATAAAAAAATATGTTATTTTTTGTACGTTATTACAAAGTGAAGTAGTAAACTGTGTGCATTACTAATTTGTACGTTATTACAAAGATAAGTCGTACACTGTTGCATCACTAATACAAATCTTACGTTACGGACGTTTTTCCCCGGTTTGGGTACCCCTCCGCATCGTCCCAAAAAGAATTTCGTTCCAAAAAAAAAGCTCTTTTACCCTTTTATTTTAAGTATATAAAACGTTTTATCAAATATACTTTGTCTTACTTGATATAATAAGGTACGTTGGCTGGCGTGACGGCTCGTTCCCACGGTGGGTCCACGGAACCAGCGAGGAACCCTTGGGCAGCGCCAGCCCCACCATCGCGGGCCACGCCTGCCAGCTGACGGGCCCGCTCCTCCCCACCAGCGCAGAGAGCACCGACTCTGCAAGACAACAATACGAATTGAAATCTAATCTGTGAATTTATGATCAAGACATTGTTATGACATTAACAATGGCGGTGTGCACTATCTGTTGGGACTTCCTTTTCCTTATTTCTTCCTCAATCTAGTGGATTGAGGAAGAAATCCACGCCATCTGTTGACACTACAATAAAAACTACGCATGTGAAAACGGTGTGAAGAGAGTGTGTAAAAAAAGAAACATGTGTGCAATTCACACATGTTAGAAGTGAAAGTATGTATATGTAAAATTTTGTCATTAGTAAATAACTGTAAATCATCTTTTATAGTATGAGGTAGCGCCCTCTGTGAATCAATATTTTAACGTCACGTATAATCCTAAATTGAAATTCACTACAAGAGGTTTCATACGCACGTTAGTATTAAAAAATCTCATAGATGGCGCTGTATTAAAAATTACGTTACATCTGTAAAATTTTTACCCTCATGCGCCTAAAGAAGTTTCACTTCAAAAACTAAAACACGGTGCCGGTGCTAAAACTAAAATTGTGATTTGTTGATCAATCAGCACATATAACTCTCGCCAGTGAGAAAATAGAAAAATGCATCAACGAACTACGGAGTGAGTCCTAAAACTTAACCTTTTCCCAGTCCCAAACATATTTAAATTCAAAACACTATCCACGTGCTTCCAAAATTAGGACCGAGGTTTGTCTGAAAGACTCACGTTTAATTTGATTGACAATTCAACAGAATGCAAATAAGTACATAACGTAATACAGTTCAAAAGCTATTTTGTAAATCTCACATTCTTATTATATTGGGTAAACAATGATTAAATACTAAACCATAATTATATCTATCGGCTATCGTTGAACATTTTAATATTCCTTCATCTAAAATCTAAATTGCTTTTGACATATAGATAGGGGGCTACCAAAATGATACGGTGTGTTTATAAGCAATTCCCAGATTTCTTGGCATAGATATGTATATAAAGATCACCTTGTATTTAAGTCATCAAGTTTCGCCAGTAACTGATCTGGTAGCTGGATTTTGTCTCTCGCCAGTGTCTGTGCTTGAGCGTGTAGCTCATCAGCCAATCTCCTCAGCGGTGGCAGTTGAGCTCTGGCTCTGGAGACAGCATCCAGTTGTGCCCGAGCGTCTCTTGCGTCGCCTGGTCCTCGCCATGAAGACCTGGCCGCTTCAGCAGCTTGGACTCTGCTGGCGAGCTCGTCAAGAGAGTTGGTGAAGGCTCGTACGCGCTGTAAGAAAGAAATTAGTATGAAATACTTTCAGATTCCATTAGAATAGCCAGTTGTGTAGGGTAGCCACTAAACAGTGTGTCCTAGCATTTTAAAGTTAATTTCTGTTTGATTCAATTCAAAAAGTGGCTACAGGAAAATGTAGAACTTACGACTCATCATCTCTGACATAAAGATATGTAATGTTACCATTTTATAGATTATGAAAATTGTAATTATTATAATGCAAAGTATCAATCGCTAAAACTGAATTTATGTAGACAGCAGCTCGGCTGTGTAACTGGAATTGCTGATGTCTATAAGCGCCGGAGATCTCTCACCATTGGGTGAGCTGTAAACTTGTCAGCCCACAAAAGCACTACAAAACTAAACCTTGTCCAGACTGCTGGTGTCTTGGACTAGTCGTGATCACCCAGAATGCTGATGTGTTCATTAAATGTAACGTGTTCGTAAAACCCAATATTTCTTTTTCAATTTTACTATCTAGGTTCATCATGAAGTCTTTAAGACGGATACTTCTTCACTTAATGTTAACCACCAATTTAAATGAAAACAATACAGTTCTAATTTAACCATCTACAGTGCAAAGATTTTACTTCCTCACGTCTCTTTAAAATAACATTTTATTAGATAGGATCAATCTTTGAAAGCAATACATAGGTGGCCTGCGCTTTTAGTATATCTCCTTAGCCCATGAGCAATGGTAGACGGTTGTATTCTATGTCTTTTTTACGCCATCAGTAATGCTTGGTGAGGACTTCAATTAAAATTGGGAATCATTTCATTACCCTGTTGCGCATTATAAATAATGAATTAAGAGGTTTTTTTTATTGCTTAGATGGATGGACGAGCTCACAGCCCACCTGGTGTTAAGTGGTGTTCATGGGGGTAGATGTCTATGGGCTCCAGCCCATAAACATCTACAGCGTAAATGCGCCACCTACCTTGAGATATCAGTTCTAAAGATCTCAGTATAGTTACAACGGCTGCCCTACCCTTCAGACCGAAACGCATTACTGCTTCACGGCAGAAATAGGCAGGGCGGTGGTACCCACCCGCGCGGACTCACAAGAGGTCCTACCATCAGTAATAATGCAAATTATAACTTTGGCGGGTTTCGTTTTTATTACACGATGTTATTCCTTCACCGTGGAAGTCGATTGTGAACATTTGCTGAGTACGAATTTCATTAGAAAAATTGGTACCCGCCTGTGATTCGAACACCGGTGCATCGCTCAACACGAATGCACCGGACGTCCTATCGCTTAGGCCACGACGACTTCAAATGTAGTGTGTAATTAATTTTTTATTTAATTTAAAACAAATGAAGAATGTCTAACATCGCTCATGGAAATAAAAATTTAATTACACTCTTCGTTTGCTTTGGGATTATTTATAATGCATAATAGGGTCTATAGGAAGATAAGTTTAAATGACCGCATTCTAAACTCGTATCTCGTGAGATAATGTTACACGGCAGTGACCTTGTCGCAGTGCGAGAGCCAACCTTGTGGTTCCTCCATAATGACGACTGCACTTTGAGATAGACTGGAATAGCGTGTAAGCGAAACCGGTTCTAACCTTTGTGAGGTCAGATTTTGTTAGTACGGCTCAGGGTATCTCAAACTGGTGCGAAACCTAAGATTGGAGAGCATCCGTGAACACACTCCACGCTCACTACCCCTGTATGAATTACTGAAGCCCATAGACATCTACAACGGTCGCCACCCACCTTGAGATATAAGTTCTAAGATCTCAGTATAGTTACAACGGCTGCCCTATCCTTCAGCAGGTCTTAAGCAGTCTTCACGGCAGAAATAGGCAGTGCGGTGGTACCTACCCGCGCGGACTCACAAGAGGTCCTACCAACAGTAAAAAGTGATTTAAAAGAAACACTGAAATACGAATTGTGAAATGTAAAGCTTAAATGCATTTAGCAATTAAGTGACCCATTTATAGGCAAAAGCTCAATTACGGTGTTAGAAAGCTCCAAGCGAGCACGATTTACAAACGTTTCGGTGAAGTATTGTCTGGAGATGAAAGTATCTAGATATTAGACCACACACAGCCTCACGATCTCACAATGTTTATATTCAAATAAACTTATCTGTCAGTTGTTGTTAATGAAGTACTCATAGCTTAGTGATGCAAAGTCAGCAAGGGGTTCTTGGTTAGAGATGGTGGTAGGGTCTCTTGTGAGTCCGCACAGGTAGGTACCACCACCTCGGTAGGTGAGGTAGCCGTTATAACTATACTGAGACCTTAGAACTCATATCTCGAGGTGGGTGGCGGCATTTACGTTGTAGATGTCTATGGGCTCCGGTAACCACTTAACACCAGGTGGGCTGTAAGATCGTTTACACATGTAAGCAATAAAAAAAAATAAAAAAATCATCGCATAATTCAAAACAAACCCGTAAAAAATTAATTCCTGTATTTACTAGTACTGTGAGTTTGCGCAGGTAAGAATCATCACCCTGCCTATTTCTGCCGTGAAGCAGTAATGGGGCGGGGCAGCCTGTAACAACGTAGGCCTTAGAACCCATATCTCAAAGTGGATGACGGAATTTACCATGCCCATGCACCGGTAACCACTTAACACCGAATGGACCACGAGTTCGTTCACCGGTTTAAGAGAAAGAAAAAAAAAACATATAGTTTTTTATTTACACACATTTTTTTGATATAATTCATGGTAAGTTAGAAGAGTACAACAAAAGATGTGGCCAACATGACTAAAATGCCTTTGCAGTTTATAATGATTAACTTCCAATTGATTATGACGCAGATGCAAGTTCAATAACATGGATCTCAGATAATTAACCACTTAAAGGAATATGTTGTGAATTCCCAGTTACATTGCTATTGTAAAAAGTATAGGGGTACTTTACAATTTCACTAAAATTGCTGTATTTGCTCGTATTAGTCTAAATCAGCCTTTCCCAAATTGGGCGATAACGCCCCCTTGTGGGCGGTGTAGGCCTAATGGGGGGCGTTAAGAGATCCAGAAAAAAATGGGGGCTTTGTGTAGATGCTTGAGAGGCGATTTTTAATTTCATCTAGGACTTTGAGAGGACTTTTAGACATCGATTGAGCTCTCGCTATAGTGGTTTTTAAGTAGGCGAAAAAATGGGGGCGCTAAAAAATAATTTATTCTGAAAGTGGGCAGTAGACAAAATAAGTTTGGGAACCACTGGTCTAAATGAGCACGTCTGCTGCGTCAAGTCGTCTGCTTTTTTTTTATTGCTTAGATGGTAGGTCGAGCTCACAGCCCACCTGGTGTTAAGTGGTCACTGGAGCCCATAGACATCTACAATGTAAATGCGCCACCCACCTTGAGATATAAGTTCTAAGGTCTTAAGTATAGTTACAACGGCTACCTCACCCTTCAAATCGAAACGCATTACTGCTTCACGGCAGAAATTGGTAGGGTGATGGTATCTACCCGCGCGGACTCCCAAGAGGTCCAGTGACTTCGATGGTTACCGAAAGTCATAAATATAAGAGGATGTTATGTATTTACTTAACTAAGGATACATAGTAATGGTTTTCATAAGATTATTTTATGTGAGTCCGCAGTGGAGGGCGTTCTCGCGATGCCGGAAGATTCCATGCGCGCTGACATTTCCTTTTTAATTGTGTTACATTGCGCGTAAAGCCGAAACAGCAAAATTTAATCAGACAACCACACATATTTCAAGCATCTGGCTTCAAACTACGGTTACCAGGATTATGCAAATCAGAGACGTTACGTTATTATTATTATTTTTTTATTGCCCTTGTAGGCAGACGAGCATACAGCCCACCTGATGGTGAGTGGTTACCGTCGCCCATGGACTTCAGCAATGTCAGGGGCAGAACCAAGCCGCTGCCTACCGAAAATAATTACCTTTAAATATATAGAAATGAAATATTCACGCAATCAAACCTTTGTGCTTAGTGCGAGTTTTTTAACGTTCTCGTTACCGTAAAAGTTAACCCAATTTTGTATGCAGTTGGAACAGCGCCCCTAGCGGCAAACGTACGCAAACGATCCCATTCCATACAAATATGAGCTAACTTTTACGATATCGAGAACGTTAAAAAACTCGCACTAAGCACACTGTTCGTCATGCGATAGGGGAATTCAATTCATATGCACTAACTAAACGCTAAAAAACACGCATTTTTCAGTAAGTATGACCACAGATCACAAGAAATATATTTAGCATTTCAGAGCAATGTACCAGTAACCAAAAATCTATCTATCTATTCGCGCGGTGGCCGTGTAATGGACAAATTCAAGCGTCAAATAGTTGGGCAAATCACCTTAATTTCTTGTCGAATCTTATATAAAACGTATATCAAAGGACTTACTCCCCAAGCGATGGAGTAAGAGACATTTATGAAAAAAAAAACGGATACAATGTAATAACACGGTCGGGTGGTTGGGGAGTCAGTTCGTCCGAAGATTTGCGTATTACACTTTTTTTTTAGGTTATTGTTATTTGTATTTTATTTTTCGATATAATAATTTGGGCTGTGTATTTTATTTATAATCTTTGATCGGAATGCTCTTTGTTAGATTTGAAAGGTATTAACGAGATTACATTTTTGCTATCTGAAGATTTGTCTTTTGTGTTGGAATTTACCTATGTGGACTAATTTTTTTTAATTCAATCAGTCCTCTTTTTTTTTTCCTACCTATGGTAGGTAGGGAAAAAAAAATGCCTTGAGAGGCTATTTCAGCTTCGCCCTAACGTTTGTAGGTGAGCTCGCGGGGCTCAACCGGAGAGTTGCTAACACTGACCCTAGCAAGAGCACCATCTACCACCGGATCGGAAACGCGACCCACTGAGAAGATCCGGCGGGAAACTCAATGGGCTTCGTCCTCTTACGTAACTTAGTCCGTAGATTGAGACTAAGCAGTTCCACTATGTTTTCACTTATTTTTTCAAATGTACATACATACAACATTGACAATTTTCATTCAATGTATCGAAATTGACAATATCATTTGT